CTTGTTGCCCCGGCGTAATTAAAGCCTTGGAAAGTGAGGGCAAATGGATTTCTTTCAGTACTGCTGGGGTTACGATGGAGCACTTCACAGCTTTGGCCATTAACTCCACACTTCGATGGCTAAGCACAAAGCCGGAGGAGGGTAAATCCAGTGGGTGCGATGCCAAAAAGCGACTATGAAATATTCGCAGCTGACAGTTTTGAAAAATGAAAGCTGTAGAGGGCGGAAGGGAGGGAGGGTAGTGGGCAGGGGGCGTGGCTCAAGCCATAAAAATTCAGTAGCAATGGCAGCGGAAGCGGAAGTGGAAGCGTTCGGCTCGTGCGAATATTGCAAATGTGGCGGAAAATATGGCGTCAGTCAAAAGTCAGCGCAGCGCGTTTAATGCCCGCGACAGCAAATAAATTGCATTTCCACTGCAGCAGCAGAAGCGAGGGGGAAAAAGAAAGAAAGAAAGAAAGAAAGAAAGGCCATCGAGCAGAGAAAAGCGAAGAATGCGGCGGAGGGAAAGAAAATGCGCACAGAAGTAAATGGGAAATGTGAAATGTGAAAAGCAATTTCAATCTAGCGACGCCACCCGCTGAGCTTCAAAGGTGCGAAAGGCAGCCAAATCGCGCATCCGCCCGAGTGGCCCTGCAGTTGGCAGCTCTCGCGGCGCACATCCCTACATCCCTACACCCATTATCCTTTTAAGGCTGGCTGCCGCGCTACTCCAATGCTTAATTACTCCTCCGCCGTCGTTCCAGTTGGCTACGCAGGCGTTCCGGGCCCCCGAATGTCTATGGGTATCCTAAATTAAGTTGTTATCCAGTGGAAAAATATGCAAATTGTTTTTGGCTCATGTCAGACATAAACTTTTTTATGGCCCAGTGACATGTAATAGTAAGCCCTCCTGCTCCTAAGCCATCCCCCCATCCCCCGCCCCATTTGTCTGGCCAACACTTTCGACTGCCGCCAATATAAAAAAGTTGTATAAAGGAACCCCCCAAAAAAAAAACAACAACTTAAATTCATTTGCCCGCCTTTTTGGGTGAGTGTGCGAATTGTTTGGCCAAGTGTGCGTGAGTGGGTGTATCAATGTGTGTCTGTGTGATGGCGACGTGTTCACGTTTATGCACTCTCCGTGTTTCCAGGATCAGATAACTCAACCCTTGCAAACACAACTCCAGAGCAATTTTCAGGGGAAAGGCGGAGATTTGCCGCCACACGTTGTAGAATAATTGCGAATCATAAATATGAGGCACGACGTCCTCGACATTATTTAGAGGCAAACAGCAGGCCATAACTCTGCCCACCCCTCCCCCCTGCTCCATTTACCATTTATGGCCTGCTGATTTCGCAGAGTGCAGCTAACAGTTAATTAAGACATTCAGGCCCTGTTCCACCTCACCCACCCACTTTTCCATCCAGCGACTCATTCACGCCGTACTCCGCTCCGGATCATCGCGTGTCTGCATCGCAGGGTAAGTAAAATTGGGGGGAGGGAGAGAGTGCAGCTGGGTGGGAGAAAGACTTTCCATGTTCCGTGTAGCCCTCCCACTCTCCTTAGCCCTGAAACACCCACCGTGGGTGGGGCTACAAGCTTCTAATTGAGCGTGCACTGGGCGCTTCTAATTATCGCACGAAGCGAACAGTTTCCCATTTCGCATTTCGATCCTTTGACGCCATTGTTCCCCTTTTCCAGGACCGCTTCATCTTGTTTGTTGTTTATGGCAAATGGCCTGCGACATTCGGGTGAAGGCGGCGAAAGGTTCAGCCGAAACACGAATTAAGTTGTTTGCCGTCTGCGATAAAGTTTAAAGTCGCCCCCGTTTGGAAGGGGAGGTTTTGGGCCTGCGGTTGGGGATCGTATTCCCCATTTACCTACCCACTCCTATATCCATCCACCCATCCATCCACCCATCCATCCATTCACCCATGCATTCATCCATCCTAACTTCATTACCCAGCACGGAGGTTGTGTGTATGTGCAAATTTCCTGTTCTGCTTTTTACGGCGGCACGTAATCAAATTAAGCAATTACTGCCTGGCGTCTCCCTCTCCCTCCCTCTGCCCACCGCATCCACATCCCCTTGATTACGGGGCAACTTCAAGGGAAAATCACCAGCTGAGAGGAGCGTGGAAGTTTTCCCTGCAATCATAACGGTAAACGCTGCCCAGGCAAATGAATTCGGAACTCCAGACCACCAGAAATGTTTCCCTGCGAACAAGTGGCAATCACTCCAACACCCACCCTGCAACAGAAGGACATCGCACATCCTGGCTAATCCACAGTGATGTCTGGTACTCGAGCATCGAAACATCGAAACGGGAAAAGGATGTTCAACTGGGTTGGAATATAATGGGTTGGGGGCACTCTTCACCCCATCTCCTCCCAAAATTAGAATGATAATCGTTTGGTTTATGGCCAATTAATCAACTCCCCAATGCCGTTAAGCCCAAAAAGGAGACTACACTTTTCATGGACATTATGCGTTTTCACAGCCGCTCCCTTAACGGCTCCTAAACAAACAGCCAGGACATGTTTCTGGCCACTTTCCAATTGGACAAAGGGCTGTAAGCGATATATTTACGATTCCCCTGGTTCGTAAGGATCCTGCGAAATGTTTCCATGTTGTCAATTAATAATATTGAATGTGAACCCAAGCTGGAGTGAGGCATCCTGTATCCACAGTGGCCTTGGCCTTGGTCATCCCATCACCCCAATGGTAGCTGTATATTCTTTGTATCCTTTCGCCTAATCGCTCGGTCGTAAAGCTCCGAAGGCGAATGCCTCTAATTATAACTGACCACGCAGCAGTGCAATTCACTTGCGTTTGTTTCTGTTTCTGCTTTTGAGTCCATTTCTTTAATTCCACTGAAGTGAGCTAGAAAGAACTCCCCCACTGACCTAATGAGCCATTTAGCCAATTGGGGTTAATGTCCACACCCGCAGGACGAAGGACGAAGGAGCAGCGTGAAGAAGGGGGCGTGGTGCCGCCCACGAACTCAACTCAGCTGAAGTCAACTTGTGCGCGTCTTCCTGATGAATTTTTGAAGAGGCTTCGTGCGAACTTTCAGCCAGGATAAATATATCAACCCGATTACCGACTCCGAACTTCCTCCTCTTGATTTCCTCGTTTCCTTTATTTGCTGAGCTCGCCTCTTCATTTTCATATTTTCCCTGTGTATGACCAAACATTTTGGTCACGTGCTGAGAACGTGAGCCTTTTTAGGCAACTTTTAGACGTGCTATAGAAGTTTGTAAGGAAGGCGAACATGTCCTAGGGGCCTGGTTAAGTGCATTGTTCCATTGCTGATGACTGCAGCAATCGATGGCTGTATTCGGTTTGCTCAGTGAGCCAGCCTAGTATAACATTTTAAAACCATCTTTATGTCCATACGAATTATGATACATTCTCACATTTGTAGGCTTGCGTGATGATGCGTGAGCTGCAATGTCAACTTTCCCTGATTCATTTTGTGAGGCTTAGTCCTTGTCGAACAAAACACAATTCTCAACGCAACTTGACAAGACAAGCGCAGCTTAAAGCCAGTAAAATGGAAAGCAATCCTATTTCATTTCAATTTGTCATTGGCCTTGGTTTTGGGAATTTATACTGGGATTGGCACAGTTTTCTCTTCCCACTCTACTGCATTTTTTCACCTTATACGACATCTCATGAAATTGTAATTGGAGGTACCCGGAACTGTCTATGTCAGATTGCAAAGCTCTTTTCAGGGGGTTTTATTAGATTTTTTTTAGGAATTCGTACCGCACTGATTTAACCGAAATCCCCAAGTAACCAAGTTGCAATATTGAAAGGGAACCTACTATAATTTTTTTTTTTATTTTTCTTAGATTTCCAGTTTTAGTTTGGATATCCTTTTTCCAATTTTGTCTTGATTCTAGGCACACATTGGCGTCAATTAGGCTGGGTAAAGCTTTGTTCGCATGCAAACTGTCATTTCATTACGAATTCCATCCTGTTGCCATCGCATTGCGCATTCATTGAGCTGCTTATCACTGGATGTGGATGTTCCTCTGGGAATATCTCATATCCTGAATCCTTTATCAGCCGCCTCATCCACATATTTTCCAATTCATTTCATCGCGAGTCGAACAAAATCATCTGAAATGCAAATGTCAGTGGTAAAAAAGCGTAACCAATCTGACTCCGCCTGTATCCTGCCTCCTGTTGTTATCGTTCATCTGTGTCATCATCCCCTTTCTGGCCCCCCAATTCCCCGTTTTCCCCACTTTACGATCGAAGGCTAATAAAGTCGTCTGCCGTTGGCCGTCGGCGCCAACTTGCATAATTCAATTACATCCGATGCAGACTCATAAAACTAAATCAAAGGAAAACAAAGCGTCACGCTTCATTTACTTTGGCTAAACTCCTCGGCGGGGAGCTGCCTTGTCCAAACAATCCCCAAATTCGAAGTGGAGACACATGCAAACGGCTGAGAGCAATAAAAGCTTTCACCAAAGAAGTTCGGCTATCCTTTACTATTTCTCATACAAGGATCTTTTATGCTTATCCTCTTTGGCCGAGTCTATAGCGTCCTACAGGATGACTGTTGATGTCCATTGGCTGCTGTGGTTGGCTCAGCTCTCCAAGGATACTGTGCTGTTGGCCATGAAAGTTTCCTATCGCTTCCGACACCCCGGAGGCGCAGATTTGCATGGAAAGCGGCCAACAATTTGCAGGACCGACTTTTCCGGGGCACTAAAACTTTGATTTCAGTTTGCCTTGGCCATAATAATATCCTGACTGGTAGCGAATTGGGCCATAAGGCAGCCATGCATCATTCAATACCCCATACCTCACTAGGAATTGTGAGCTGCATTCTCCTTTGTTTCGGCTAAGCAACTTGCAACACTATTTATTTTTCTGTATTGTCACCTTTTCCAAATAGGGTTGTGCCTCGGAAAGTTTCCTCTTCTTTTGCAGTCCTGTGCTCTGTCATTGACAGCTGTGACGATAGAAGAGAGAGAAAACCCAATTTCGCTTATAGACGGGAAAAAAGTTTTTATTAAATTCAAGTTTCAGCTTCTGAGAAGCTAGAATATCTTTAAGTTGGTTGTCTTGAGTTTCTTGAGCTGAGTGAAAATCTTTGAAGTCTGAAGTCTGTGTAACTTTCCCAACTGAGACAAATTAGAGAATGTCTGAGCCACTAGGTGAGATTTTGGGAGTTACAGAGAAAAGCCACCTTGATGGTAGGTTAACTATAATTAAACAGTACGGAATATTTCTCATAGCCCTTTTTTCTATAGATATATCGAGAGTTAGCCCTGTACCATTGCCAACATCCAGACTGGTGCGTGTGATCCACAATGAGCACAACTACAATTTTATCCTGCCAGATATTCTGCCAGAAAATAAGCTCTATTTGCAACCTAATCGCACTCTGCGTCAGTTGGTCTGTGCCATGCATGACAAAATCAATCCCGGCCAGTTGGGTCAACTTTCGGTTGCAAAAATGGAGGAACATATACGTAAGGCCGACTTGATCCAGCGACGACTGCGTCGATTCCTCGCCAGCGACCGCAGATTCATCGACTTCAGTCCAATGTCGTCAATGCACGAGGCGATTGTGGAGCAGCTGGCCGAGGAAATGCACTGTCCGACTAGATTTTATGCTACTCAAGATGGTAGTAGGTACTTGGTAGTTTACCAGCCGGGAATAGGACCCAACCGATTCGAGCTAACAGCTCGCCAAGGTGTCTCCGGCAGGAAAGTTGAGCTCTATTCTCCGGAAGTTGAAGAAAAGCAGATCAGGATGTCCTCGGGGGGCCAAAATCCCTCCTGGCACCAGAAAACACAGCAGGAGGATCTCCAGATGGCGGAGTTCTCAGTCCGTTTGGGACGCAATATCCTGGACAAGTTCAATGCCAGCAGCCAACAAATCAGGCACAGTTTGCGACCTAAGCGCAAAAGTAAGGAAAATATCAAGTCATAAATTATATTTTGCTACATTATTAATAAGTTTTAAATTGTGTTCTGATTGGGTTTAAAATAGCTGAGCAAAAAGGATAGGGAAAAAACTGCAAAATGTGGCAGCGGAAATGAAGAATGGCCATTTCGCCAACTCATCTCTCATCTTTTCCTCGCCAACTGCACTTCAGATTGCTTTTAAGATTTGTTTGATTTGACAGCCATTCAAGTGCTGCAGTTGCACTTGAGCCTCGAGAAAGAAAACTAGTGGTCAGTGCTGGAATAATGCACTAGCCCAACTCTTTTACTTCCTATTTGATGGGTACAATGTCTTGCGACTGTCTGCCAACTCAGAAAGTGCTTCCGTATTTTGCGATTCTGGCGCCTTTGCAGTCTGGATCTTATGAAGGCCCAACAATCTGCCAGCTGTCGGGATTACTTTCGTGCGGCAATTTGTTGTCCAGAGCTTGGACTCGAACTCCCTTATCCAGATCCTGCGAACTTCTCCCTTTCTGGTCACGTGCCCATTTTGTTTACATGCTGCATTAGGGGATTCCATTTCGTTTAGTTTTCACTCGCTGTGTTTTGGTACGTTTTATTGAAATTTGATTCTATTTTCTGTTTGCCTCACATTCTCCTTGCCTTATACCCACTGTTAAGTCCTTGCCGCAGATCAACGCATATTTGTTTTTACTCTCGCATTATTATCCTTATGCCACCCTTTTTTTCGGATTTCCTGATGGGGTTGGTGTGAACTTTGGCACTCCACTGCAGCTTTTCCTTCGGTTTATCCTTCTTCCTGCAACTCCTACAACTATTTACTGCTCTGCTCTGCAACTTGTGCTTCCACTTCTATGTTGTGGATGCTTATTGTGTTCTATATCCGCCTTAGTACTGCCATTTGTTGCATCGAGGGTTGACTAGCTTAACCTTTCGTTTTCCACTTTTTTCTCAGCTTTTTCGTGCACTCATTTGTCGGGGGAAAAAGAGCGAAAATAAATGTAATGTAGGATGTGGATTAATAAGGGGTTGATGGAAATGGGCATGGGATGTGTTTGCTTCGCTGATAAGTGTACGTCTGGGGGATTAGCGGTCTCTTATCAGACGGTGGCAATCGTGTAGTTTGCTCATCCCACCCCAGAAATCTCGGCTTAATCACAGTCAATTTACTCGGTGGCGCTTTAATAACTGCCATTGAGACACGTGCTCAAAAGCTTTTAAAGTTTTATTACATTTTGGAGGATTGCTGTTTCGCCCCGATAACTTTTATTACATTCGTTGACAGTCTGCCAAGTGTAATTGAATTTCCCCGCTAGGGAAAGTATTTACACACTCACAATTTAACTGCTGGCAATTGTTTTGACCAAGTTGTGCAATTGGTCTGAATGCAAATTAAATCCATTGGCGACGCCTTTGTGTCCTGCTCGCAATTAGTGGCTCCAATTGGGATTGCAACTGGTTCCGCAGCTGATTCGACCAAATTGGATTAGTGTCAGTTGCCAGTGCAATCAAAAAAGGAAGCAACAGTTGCAGGCAGACAATCCAAAAAGGTTACATTGCGCATGTGCCCACACAGGATGCCGAATTCCATTCGGATCCTGGCTCCTGGCTGATGTTATGTAAACAAACGACAGTTGGACGGCCGGCGGCTGACGAGACTGTGGTTTGTCCGGATGTTCGGAGATGGGCTTGGCTTCCGGACCTTTGACAACATCGGAGCCGGCACCAGGTTTTCCATGTCAAACCTTAAAGCCAAGACGAAATGACGAGAGGGACGGGGACCCTTGTATCATCAGATGCCGTGTCGTTTACTTTCTGTAATGAAACACCTTTGATATGAAATACCCGAGAAATGCCAACGAGTTGAAGGAGGAGGCTGCGAGGTACCCACATTACTTGTCAGCAGTTTTGAGTTGATTGCTAAAGGGTTTGCTCAACCCACATACCCCTGCCACATGTGAATATTTATTCCCGTGTTGCAAGAAACAAAGGACCTGAACAAATATTTGCACTCTACAATGAAATAGTTGTCTATTGAGGTCAAGATGAGTTAAGTTAGTTTTTAATTAGAACAAAGAAAATATGTGTTTAACAGATAAGAACTTCGTCAGAAATTTGACAATAAAACACAGTATTCTAAATAATAATTTCATAAGTTTTTGCAAAGACGAAAGGTCTTATATATATTTCTTATCAGTAGCCCCTGAGTAATCGGACTTTCCTAATTGACGAATAAAAACAAAGTGAAATATAAATAAATTGACTTTTATTGCAATAATCAAAAGTTCCAGAATAAATTTTTATAGATATGATAATTATGCTCGGACTAATTCCATACCGGGAAATTCCTTATTATGTACAGTATAATAATCTTGTTTTATTTGGTTGATTGTTTGGAGTAATTCATTATTATTCACAGTATTTTCTTGATAATCTGGTTCAATTTGGTTGGCTTGTTGAACAGGTCTTGTAATAATTGGATTAACATCGGTTGTGAAAACATCATAACTTAGTGGATTTTGGGCGTTATAACCTTCATTATTATGAATTTGGTTGACTTGTTGAACTGGCGTTGTATTAATTGAAGCAGGATCGACTGGGAAAACATCATACCTTCCGGGACTTTTTGCGTTATAACCTTCATTACTATGAATTGGGTTGGCTGGTTGAACTGGTCTTGTAATAATTGAAGCAGGATCGACTGGGAAAACATCATACCTTGGTGGATTTTGGGCGTTATAACCTTCATTATTATAAATTGGGATATCTGGTTTAACTGGATCAACTGGCCTTGTAATAATTGAAGCAGGATCGACTGAGAAAACATCATACCTTCCGGGATTTTTTGCGTTATAACCTTCATTATTATGAATTGGGTTGGCTGGTTGAACTGGTCTTGTAATAATTGAAGCAGGATCGACTGGGAACACATCATACCTTCCGGGATTTTTTGCGTTATAACCTTCATTATTATGAATTGGGTTGGCTGGTTGAACTGGTCTTGTAATAATTGAAGCAGGATCGACTGGGAAAACATCATACCTTGGTGGATTTTTTGCGTTATAACCTTCATTATTATAAATTGGGATATCTGGTTTAATTGGTTGAACTGGTCTTGTAATAATTGAAGCAGGATCGACTGGGAAAACATCATACCTTGGTGGATTTTTTGCGTTATAACCTTCATTATTATAAATTGGGATATCTGGTTTAATTGGTTGAACTGGTCTTGTAATAATTGAAGCAGGATCGACTGGGAAAACATCATACCTTCCGGGATTTTTTGCGTTATAACCTTCATTATTATGAATTGGGTTGGCTGGTTGAACTGGTCTTGTAATAATTGAAGCAGGATCGACTGGGAAAACATCATACCTTCCGGGACTTTTTGCGTTATAACCTCCATCTGTGGGTGGATTTCCCATTTGATTTCGTGCGATCTCCTGATCAATCCAACCGCGTAGTTTGGCCACACTGGTGTAGACACCCGGAGTGTCCTTTTGTCCGCACCCGACTCCCCAGTTGACGATGCCCGCCTGCTCGTACCGCTCGGGATCTTCCTTCAGCGGACAGACAAGCGGAGAACCACCATCGCCAAAGCAGGAGTCCTTGCCGAGTTCACCGCCGGCGCAAATAAGGCTTTCATCGAGCACGAACTTGTCTCCATGAGCCAGTTTCATTCGCGCTTGACACTCAGGGTTCCTGACCACCGGCACATCAATCTTTTTCAGGACGTTCATGTATCGTCTGGCTCTAGCGTACTCCTTACCCCATCCACTGACGATGCAGCGACTTAGTTCGAAGTTCCTACTCGCTGGCGGCATACAGATGGTCTGGATGTGGGGGGCTAGCTCCAGTGGTCTTTCGAGGAACAGAAGAGCCACATTATTAGCTCCAGTGTTTCTCAAAAAGTCGGGATGACGCACAATTCTCCTGATGCCCACTTGAACGTGCGGGTAGCGCTCGGTGGTGATTTTGAAGCTCCATTCACCAGCCCTCACAAATATCTGATCCAAGGTCTTGTTTTCGGTAATGTAGGCTCCACTAAGCACCACATCAGGGGAGATCAGGGAACCACCACCAAAGTATTGGTTATTCTCATCTACCAGAGCCACCATCCAGGGCAGCTCGCCCTGTTTGGCCAAGTTTTTTTGATTCGTTATTGTATTAGCCAAGCCGTCTTTGTTGACTTGACCACAAGTAAGTGAAACGTCGTTGCTGGGAAGTTTACTTTCTGTCTGCAATGGCATTCACCTGTTAGAACTCGCTCAACCCACTATATAGGTATCCTTACCATCAAAAATTGGGGGCAGCAAATTTCCGTGGGTGGACATCCTTCGGATTGGACAGATCCCAATATGGGGCGCGATATTTTGCAAAGTGCTTGCGGAACGCATTGATTTTGTGATCTATCACAAAACTGGCCCTGGACTAGGTAAAAGGACAGGAGCAGATAGAGGACTCGAACTATTCCGGAGAAGCCAGCCATTCTTGCCACTGGTGTGAAGTACACTGAAGTCTTGTGAGATTTCTGCCATCATTTATAGCACCCCGGTTCTTATCGCTAACGAATATATTTCAAATACTTCTAAGAATTCATTAAGCCCCCAAATTTAATGCTAATAATCAAAGTTTGTCTGCTTGCCTTCTGACCCCTGTGATAATGAGTAATTTCTTTGGGAATTACCTGAATTCTAATAATTTCAAATATATATTTTTATGTGCTCGTCGTTTTTTCACGCATGTACATATTTTTATACCCTTGCAGAGGGTATTATTATTTTGATCAAAACTGTGCAACGCAGTGAAGGAGACATCTCCGACCCTATAAAGTATATATATTCTTGATCAGGATCGCGTCCTGAATTGATATAGCCATGTCCGTCTGTCCGTCTGTCTATTTCTATGCGAACTAGTCTCTCAGTTAAGATATCGAATTGAAACTTGGCACATACCCTTCTTTCATTTGCACGCAGAATATAAGTCAGAACGGCCGGGATCGGTCGACTATATCTTATAGCCGCCATATAACTGATTGACTAGGGTATATCAAGTTCGGCTCCGCCCGAAGTTAGCTTTCCTTTCTTGTTATTCATGAGTTTCTACACTTTTGGGAATTTCACGTTCAGTGCAATAACAAAATATTCCGCGAAATATAAATATTTGTTTTTTACATATGTATAAAATTAGTTCCATAAATTAGTGCCTCAAAATTTTCTTGAAAACAGTGTATATACATATGTTAGTTTTTAAATCTGCCATATAGAAAATATTAAAGAAATATAATAAAGTTTTCGAGGCTCTTTGAAAACAACCGGCTTACCCACTTCATGTATTTTGGGTAGAATGGCTTGCGAAGTCTTCAACTGTAAAATAAACACTCATACGCCGTGTAGTACACACATTTACAATCGCACACAATTCCACAACCGCAGGATTGCGTGACCAACACTTATGTGTATGTACGTATTTGCGGGTTGATGTGTGTGTGTGTGTGTGTGTGTGTGTGTGTGTGTGTGTGTGTGTGTGTGTGTGTGTGTGTGTGTGTGTGTGTGTGTGTGTGTGTGTGTGTGTGTGCGTGTGGGTACTCTGATTAGAGCAGCAACAAAGTGGGAGGGGAAAACGAGGGCCTGTAAAGTTGTGCTGCGTCCGCTTGTGTTTACATAAAATCAAAAAGTTGACACTAATTGAAATATGCCGGGGATTAAGAGCCACTCAATAAATGCCAGCCAACGAACCCTCAAACAGTCCCCACTCCCCCATAATCCCCGTTCACCCCCATAACCTTGATGCGGTTCAAGTTTCGCGACCGCAAAACATAAGCCATAAAAGAATATTATGCAAATTTGATGTTCCGCTCGAACACTTTTCAGTGGAGACCTTCCGCCCATCGCAGAGTCCACTTTCTTCACTTAGTGGCTCGTTGATTGAATGGCCACTAAGTGCTTTCGGCCCATAAGCGGTAGCAACAACAACAACAAGCGAACAATAATCTGAGTACTTGAATTATGTCAGGCCCTTAATGTGTCCTATGATTTTTGTCCTTACAACTTTGGCCCTTAAACGTGTTCTATATAGTTTTTTGTTAAAAAAAATACCCAAATATTAGTCATGGTTCTTAAAGGTCTGGAAATGAGTAGGGAAAGCTATTCTTGTATTTTTTTTTAACCACAACTACCACAAAAAAAGTTTATTTCGATGGCCATAAATCAATGATTATGCCTGAGTGGAGAAACAACCCGCAGTTGAGATATAATCACACACTCTCATTGAGTTCGAACAGTTCCCCATTAAATATTCAAACGGCTATCTGAACTGACACATCCCCAAATACGAATAACTAACATACCATATCAGCTGGAGGCCGAAATTTTCCATTAGCTTTAATGCTCCTGCCCAATTCCCCGAGTTTATTAAATTCGCGTAAAATATTCCGCTGCGCACATTATAATGAACCTGTAATGCAGGCGGGTAATGGAAAAGGACCAATGGACAAATGGACCAAGAGCAAAACACCTGCCCACTGGCCAGACAAATTTTCAGCTATAAATTTTGATAGCTGATTAAAAATAACGAGCGACATTTGCTTTTGTTGTCCCTGTAAATGGAAAATGATTGCAAATGCTTTGTCGAGTGGAATGAGGAGGGATGGATATTTTTGTTCTCAGAGCTAATTTGTACAGACAATTAATTTTTGTTAGGTGTTTGTTGTTCCGTTCATTGGAGAGCAGCTTGTTCAACAGCAATGTTGTTTGTTGAAACAGATTTCTATCGAATGGGAAATTTATGACTGAGACTGGGAAGCAAAATATTAAAAAAATGTTATCGCTGATCATCGAATTACCAATTGACCATAAATGCCATTTTTATAACTTGGTCCCTATGGAATTTAAATGTTTACAGAATTTCTATTTAAATTTAAGGGGTTTTAACTTATTGAATAGCATTAAGGCAGGAAGATTTCCATTATTCTATTTTGAACACGATACATTAAAGCTGTGAAGATTATCATAGAATATATGGTTTCATATCAGCAGTTTTAATCAATTCTTGTAAGAATTTTCCCTAAACCAAGGCTTAAGAAAGCGTGATTTTGTTGGTGGGAAAAACTTAAGTTCTCAAAATAAACAGTTATAGAGTCAAAGTTCATTAACCCAAACCAGCCTTTGGAGTAGCCGTCGAGGAAAACTAAATGCAAACAAAATAGAGTGCTGAGGTGGAATAAAGTATGAGCCCGAATCGAGGCAAGCTTACGATTCAATTAGAAGTGAAAGCCACTTTGTAATTGAAACATGGAGGCCAGAGGCCAGTCCATCGATGGCCTTTTAATTGCAGGGGAATGAGTGGGCCAAGTCGAGAGCCGGCAATCTCAGCAGCGCAGAGTAAATATTGTTCCAGCATGAAAATGTCCAAGGAAAAGCAGGAGAACGTGTCTTTCCATGGATTCCTTAATGATGAATTGGCATTGGGATGGAGCTGGGGGAGAACAGATTATTATTCATTACTCCTCAGGCTCTTCCCTCAGTCAATTTTCCGTTTCTGCTCTGCTCCTTGCAAGTAATTGAAAAGTTTTCCCATTCCACCTCATCCATTCAAGGCTCATCTTCTGCTCATCGCATCTCAAGCTTCGTTCGGTTCCGGAGACAATGGAAAATGCTCAATTTGTCACTTTCCGATGGAGTTGGAGTTCGGGGACTTGGAGGCGTGGCAGTCTGACGGATGATACGTGTGACTAAGCGGAAACCTCTCAGCGGAAACTCCATTTGCCACTGCAGCTACTTTCCCTGATTATGATTGAGTTGATGTAGTTAATATGTTATCGACTAAGATGATGACTGTCATAAGGGTTGTGCTCAACCCCCCCTCCCCATCATTATTATTTCCTCACTTCTTCAAGTGCACCCCACTGGCTGTTTGTCTGCTGCTCCATTTGAATCAGTTACAGTGATTCCCCTTCAGAAAACACGACCAAGCACACACAATCACATGGGTTTATTTGTCTTTTGAATTATTAATGCACTCGCTGAATGACTTTGAAAGCCTAGGGATTCGTGTACCAAGAGTTGTTCTCCTTCTGCAGATGCGAATGCTTTTGCTCCTTTTCAAGATGATAAGGGCTGTAGTGAAAGATGGCTGGTGATGCTGATGATCTGGCCCTTAATCAAGTGACTAACTTTCCATCCTGCGGCACTCTTTTGGGCGCAGATAAGTTTAATTAAAAAGACCGCAGCATTCTTTGGCTTGGCTCGGAAATAGCTTTCATCCGCTAGAAAACTATCTTCTGTTGGTTAAACTTTAAAATTCCAAAAATGTTTCCACGCAAAAAGAAAAATCGAAAACGAAGGCAACAAACTTTTCTGATTTCGATTTTTATTGCGGCCAGAAAATGGAAAAGCGAAAAGAGTATTGGGCAAAAGCAGAAGCCAAGTTGAGAATGAGTTTACCATGGAGATTGAAGCAGTTTCGACTGCTTCTTGGCAACAATTTCATTTTGGGAGCACTCGACTGTCCTGGTTCCATTGCCATGCCCACGATCCCCACCGCCCCTTGCACTTTGACCCACCTCCCTCCGCCCACTGCAGTTGGCATTCCATTCGGGCTACCTGCACACGCAACCACCAAGGATAAAGGGAGAAGTGGGGGGAGCAGCTGAATAAACACGTAGACCAAACAACAATGAGCAGGGGGAAAACCATCTGAACCACTTGAACCACAAACATTTCGAAAGCCAAAGTTGTTTCCTTTTTCCAGTTCATAATTTATGCCAAACAAACACATAAATATTGCCTCAAATTTATTAAAGCACCAGCCATTTTCAACCACCAACTCAAATGCGATGTGAGTAAGTTAATTCAGAATAAGTTTGGTTGGATCTCTTCTGGAAACCCTAAGCTGTTAATCTTTTTGCAACTTTCTAATTACTTTTGCATGAGAGAAACTTTTTATTTTGATTTTACAAATTACATCGCACATACTGACTCACACTTCTTAATCCCTTAATCCCATAATGCTCCAATTGGAAACTTCCCATCCTCGTAAACGCATATTCCTTTGTCAACTTTTTTTCTTTTTAAAACTGCAGTCTGATTTGCACTAAAGTAAATCACTTTCTACTCAACAGGAACTGGACTTTAACGAAGATAAAATTGAACAGAGTGTAAGGGAGAAAGGTGAAAGGAGAGAGGAGAGAGAAGAAAGGAGTGTGGAGTGACCAGCAGCAGAAAAGTGGACAAAGTGACAGGCGATAGCCACAAAACAACACACGAGAGAGGAGAAAAGAGGTGAGAGGAGAAGGAGTGGAGGAGGAGGAGGAGGAGGAGGAGGAGGAGGAGGAGGAGAGCAGGACCAGTTGACAGGAGCTCAGCCAATAAAAGCCAACCAAAACTCAGTCTGGGCCAAATTTGGACACACTGATGCATACAGCCAGAGGAGGAAGAACTCCAGGAGTGGCAGAATCAGAGGAAGGCAGCAAAAACAGCAACAGCAACC